CTGTAGATTGCTTTGGGTAGTATAGTCATTTTCATAGTATTGATTCTTCCAATCCAAGAACATGGTATATCTCTCCATCTGTTGGTATCATCTTTAATTTCTTTCAGCAGTGTCTTATAGTTTTCTGCATACAGGTCTTTTGTCTCCCTAGGTAGGTTTATTCCTAAGTATTTTATTCTTCTGTAGCGATGGTAAATGGGAGTGTTTCCATAACTTCTCTTTCAGATTTTTCATCATTAGTGTATAGGAATGCAAGAGATTTCTGTGCATTAATTTTGTATCCTGCAACTTCTCCAAATTCATTGATTACCTCTAGTAGTTTTCTGGTGGCATCTTTAGGATTCTCTATGTATAGTGTCATGTCATCTGCAAACAGTGAGAGTTTTACTTCTTCTTTTCCAATTTGTATTCGTTTTATTTCTTTTTCTTCTCTGGTTGCCATGGCTAGGACTTCCAAAACTATGTTGAGTAATGGTGGTGAGAGTGGACATCCTTTCTCGTTCCTGATCTTAGAAGAAATGCTTTCATTTTTCACCATTGAGAATGATGTTTGCTGTGTTTTTGTCATATGGCCTTTATTATATTGAGGTAGGTTCCCTCTATGCCCACTTTCTGGAGAGTTTTTACCATAGATGGGTGTTGAATTTTGTCAAAAGCTTTTTCTGCATCTATTGAGATGATCATATGGTTTTTATTCTTCTATTTGTTATTATGGTGTATCACATTGATTGATTTGCGTATATTGAAGAATCATTGTATTCCTGGGATAAATCCCACTTGATCATGGTGTTTGATCCTTTCCATGTGTTGTTGTATTCTGTTTGCTAGTATTTTGTTAAGGATTTTTTTTTTTTTTTGCGGTACTTGGGTCTCTCACTGTTGTAGCCTCTGCCATTGTGGAGCACAGGCTCTGGACGTACAGACTCAGCTGCCATGGCTCATGGACCTAGCCGCTCCACGGCATGTGGGATCTTCCCGGGCCGGGGTACAAACCCTTGTTCCCTGTATCGGCAGGCGGACTCTCGACCACTGTACCACCAGGGAAGCCCTTGTTGTAGATTTTTGCATCTATATTCATTAGTGATATTGGTCTATAATTTTCTTTTTTTGTAACATCTTTGTCTGGTTTTGGTGTCAGGGTGATGGTGGCCTCATAGAATGAGTTTGGGAGTGTTCCTTCCTCTGCTGTATTTTGGAAGAGTTTGAGAAGTATGGGTGTTAGCTCTTCACTTAATGTTTGATAGAATTTACCTGTGAAGCCATATGGTCCTGGACTTTTGTTTGCTGGAAGATTTTTTTTTTGTTTTTGTTTTTGTGGTACGCGGGCCTCTCACTGCCGTGGCCTCTCCTGTCACGGAGCACAGGCTCTGGACGCACAGACCCAGCAGCCATGGCCCACGGGCCCAGCCACTCTGCGGCATGTGGGATATTCCTGGACTGGGGCACGAACCCGCGTCCCCTGCATCGGCAGGCAGACTCTCAACCACTGCGCCACCAGGGAAGCCCTGTTGGAAGATTTTTAATCACAGTTTCAATTTCATTACTTGTGATTGGTCTGTTCATATTTTCTGTTTCTTCCTGGTTCAGTCTTGGAAGGTTATACCTTTCTAAGAATTTGTCCATTTCTTCCAGATTGTCCATTTAATTGGCATAGAGTTGCTTGTTATAGTCTCTTAGGATGCTTTGTATTTCTGTGGTGTCTGTTGTAACTTCTCCTTTTTCATTTCTAATTTTATTGATCTGAGTCCTCTCCCTCTTTTTCTTGATGAGTCTGGTTAATGGTCTCTCAATTTTGTTTATCTTCTGAAAGAACCAGCTTTTAGTTTTATTGATCTTTGCTATTGTTTTCTTTGTTTCTTTTTCATTTATTTCTGCTCTTATCTTTATGATTTGATTCCTTCTGCTAACTTTAGGTTTTGTTTGTTCTTCTTTCTCTAGTTCCTTTAGGTGTAAGGTTAGATTGTTTACTTGAGATTTTTCTTGTCTCTTGAGGTAGGCTTGTATAGCTATAAAATTCCCTCTTAGAACTGCTTTTGCTACATCCCATAGGTTTTGGATCGTCGTGTTTTCATTGTCATTTGTCTCTAGGTATTTTTTGATTTCCTGTTTGATTTCTTCAGTGATTTCTTGGTTATTTAATAACGTATTGTTTAGCCTCCATGTGCTTGTGTTTTTTACATTTTTTTCCCTGTAATTCATTTCTAATCTCCTAGTGTTGTGGTCAGAAAAGATGCTTGATATAATTTCAGTTTTCTTAAATTTACTGAGGATTGATTTGTGACCCAAGACGTGATCTATCCTGGAGAATGTTCCGTGCACACTTGAGAAGAAAGTGTAATTTGCTGTTTTGGGGTGGAATGTCCTATAAATACAAATGAATCTATCTGGTCTATTTTGTCATTTAAATCTTGTGTTTCCTTATTAATTTTCTGTCTGGATGATCTGTCCATTGGTGTAAGTGAGGTGTTAAAGTCCCCCACTATTATTGTGTTAGTGTCAATTTCCTCTTTTATAGCTGTTAGCAGTTGCCTTATTTATTGAGGTGCTCCTATGTTGTGTGCATATATATTTATAATTGTTATATCTTCTTCTTGGATTGATCCCTTGATCATTATGTAGTGTCCTTCCTTGTCTCTTGTAACATTCTTTATTTTAAAGTCTATGTTATCTGATATAAGTATAGCTACTCCAGCTTTCTTTTGATTTCCATTTGCATGGAATATCTTTTTCCATCCCTTCACTTACAGTCTGTATGTGTCTCTAGGTCTGAAGTGGGTCTCTTGTAGACAGCATATATATGGATCTTGTTTTTGTATCCATTCAGCAAGGCTGTGTGTTTTCAGTGGAGCATTTAATCCATTCATGTTTAAGGTAATTATCCATATGTATGTTCCTATGACCATTTTCTTAATTGTTTTGGGTTTGTTTTTGTAGATCCTTTTCTTCTCTTATATTTCCCACTTAGAGAAGTTCCATTAGCATTTGTTGTAAAGCTGGTTTGATGGTGCTGAATTCTCTTAGCCTTTGCTTGTCTGTAAAGCTTTTGATTTCTCCATTGAATCTGAATGAGATCCTTGCAGGGTAGAGTAATCTTGGTTGTAGGTTCTTCCCTTTCATCACTTTAAGTATATCATGTCACTCCCTTTTGGCTTGTAGAGTTTCTGCTGAGAAATCAGCTGTTAACCTTACAGGAGTTCCCTTGCATGTTGTCATTCTTCCCTTGCTGCTTTCAATAATTTTTCTTTGTCTTTAATTTTTGTCAATTTGATTACTATGTGTCTTGGTGTGTTTCTCCTTTGGTTTATCCTGTATTGGACTCACTGCACTTCCTGGACTTGTGTGGCTATTTCCTTTCCCATGTTAGGGAAGTTTTCTACTATAATCTCTTCACATATTTTCTTGGGTCCTTCCTCTCTCTGTTCTCCTTCTGGGACCCCTATAATGCGAATGTTGTTGCGTTTAATGTTGTCCCAGAGGTCTCTTAGGCTCTCTTCATTTCTTTTCATCCTTTTTTCTTTATTCTGTTCCACAGCAGTGAGTTCCACCATTCTGTTTTCCAGGTCACTTCTCCGTTCTTCTGCCTCAGTTAGTCTCTATTGATTCCTTCTAGTGTATTTTTCAGTGTATTTTTCATTTCAGTTATTGTATTGTTCATCTCTGTTTGTTTGTTCTTTCATTCTTCTAGGTCTTTGTTAAACATTTCTTGCATCTTCTCAATCTTTGCCTCCATTCTTTTTCCGAGGTCCTGGATCATCTTCACTATCATTATTCTGAATTCTTTTTCTGGAAGGTTGCCTATCTCCACTTCATTTAGTTGTTTTTCTGTGGTTTTATCTTGTTCCTTCCTCTGGTACATAGCCCTCTGCCTTTTCATCTTGTCTATCTTTCTGTGAATGTGGTTTTTGGTCCACAGCCTGCAGGACTGTAGTTCTTCTTGCTTCTGCTGTCTGCCCTCTGGTGGATGAGGCTATCTGAGAGGGTTGTTCAAGTTTCCTGATGGGAGGGACTGGTGGTGGGTAGAGCTGGCTGTTGCTCTGGTAGGCAGAGCTCAGTAAAACTTTAATCCACTTGTCTGCTGATGGGTGGGGCTGGGTTTCCTCCCTGTTGGTTGTTTGGCCTGAGGCAACCCAACACTGGAGCCTACCTGAGCTCTTTGGTGGGGCTAATGACAGACTCTGGGAGGGCTCACGCCAAGGAGTCCTTCCAAGAACTTCTGCTGCCAGTGTCCTTGTCCCCACAGTGAGCCACAGCCACCTCCCACCTCTGCAGGAGACCCCTCCAACATTAGCAGGTAGGTCTGGTTCAGTCTCCCCTGGGGTCACTGCTCCTTCCCCTGGGCCCCGATGCACACACTACTTTGTGTGTGCCCTCCAAGAGTGGAGTCTCTGTTTTCCCCAATCCTGTCAAAGTCCTGTAATCAATTCCCACTAGGCTTCAAAGTCTGATTCTCTAGGAATTCCTCCTCCTGTTGCCGGACCCCCAGGTTGGGAAGCCTGACGTGGGGCTCAGAACCTTCACTCCAGTGGGTGAACTTCTGTGGTATAAGTGTTCTCCAGTCTGTGAGTCACCCACCCAGCTGTTATGGGATTTGATTTTACTGTGATTGCGCCCCTCCTACCGTCTCATTGTGGCTTCTCCTTGTATTTCGATGGTGGGGTATGTTTTCAGCTGAGTTCCAGTGTCTTCCTGTCAATGATTGTCCAGCAGCTAGTTGTGATTCTGGTGTTCTCACAAGAGGGAGTGAGAGCACATCCTTCTACTACGCCATCTTGGTTCCTTACTTTTAAAATATATATTTTAAATTAAATGTCTGAAATAAATCTTAATAACGTGTATTTCATATAGTTACATTTTGAGTAGTGAATAGAGTGCAGTGTTATTTCTGCCAGTAGGTGCCGCTAAGAACACCAGGAAAAGAATTGCTAACCATAGCAAATTAAAATGAAAGATGTGAAACCTTGTAACTTTAACTTGAATTTATTTCTCTTTCACAATTATAGGATGGTTCAGCAATTCGCTGTGGACTTTGAGAAGAGAATTGAAGGGTCAGGGGATCAAGTAGATACCCTGGAGCTCTCAGGGGGTGCTAAAATCAATCGTATTTTCCATGAACGTTTTCCTTTTGAGATAGTAAAGGTTTGTACCAAATGTTATTTTTCCTTTTGTTTCATTTCATTTCTGTATTCTGTTCTACATAATTTTTCATCAAATGTTATATGAGTGGTAAATGGTTTTCTTTAAACAAAGGCTCCATACTCAGGTAATGAGATTTAGGAGAGAAGTTATTTTCTTACTGATGGTTCTGATTTTATTTAATGGGATCTAATGATATTTCAATAATTCAACAATGACTAATTGGTTTATTTGTTGTCTAATTAATTTAAAAATATTTCTTGAGTAACTACTGTGTACCAGTGATCTACATGCCAGGGATCAAGACAGAGGTACTGTCTGGTGGGAAAAGACAGAAAATTAACAAATAAAAAAGGAAAAAAATATCAAGTATTATTATGTAACATAATATGAGAGAGAGGGGAGTTGCATAAGCCACTTTTTTTTTGGTCAAGCATAAGAGCTAACATTTATTTAAAATTTTTTTGTGGAATATCAATTTATTGGATTATATAAGATGAAAAAAATTAAAGACTAAAAATCAGAAAGTGTTCACATAAGAAAGGTAATTGAAAAAGTAGAATATAAGTGTAAGCACATTGGAATTAACATTTTGTGAAAAATACAAATGATAAAACTTGGTAGATTACTCAGGCACTACCAGGAAACAATTATCTGTAGTTCCCCATTGGCTAAGCCAGTTTTGATGGAATATTCAGGCAAGGTCTCTCTGACTATGGGGCCTTTAACGCATGACCTGAATGGCATGAAGAGGCCACCTGTAAGTATCTGGAATTAGAAGGTTGTTCGAGGCAGGAAGCCAAGGACAAAGCCCTAGAGCAAGCACCTGTACAGCAGGTGAGGAACAGCTGAGGCTGGGGTAGAGCTGATGAACGGATGGGGGGAAGAAAATGAATTCAGAGGAAGAAAGTGCCCAGTTTACACAGGGCTTTCTATGTTGCTGTGAAGTGTTTACATTTAACAATGGAAAGTTAGGGGAGAGTTTTAAGGATTTGGTTGGTGATTTTAAAAAAACACTGTGTGGGTTGGATTGTAAAGGGGCAAGAGTGGACTGAGGGAGACAAGGTGAATTAAACAGTAGGGCCAGAGCAGGGGTGGATCCACTTTCTGTGGGGCCTGAAGCCTATACAATTTGGGGGAACCCCTTGAAGGAGAAGAATACAAAATTATAAACACAGACATGGGTCTTGGAAGGAGCTTATGCAAGGGAGAAGTCCTGAAACTTAAACTTCTTTAGCTTTATAGTAAAAATGCCTCAGAAGAGAGGCTTAAGAGAAGTGGATGGATTTGTGATTTTGGAGGTAGAGTCAATGGGGGTTGGATTGATATAGGAGATGCAAAAAAGAGAAGATTCAAGATGACTCCCAAGATTTTGGCTGGCACAATTGAGCAAGTGTTAGTGCCCATCAGATGAGGGGAACTGAGGAAAAGTTCAGTGTGGAAGTATGAATCAAGAGTTTTGTTTTGGTTATGTTCAGTTTGAAATGCCCAATAGGCAGCTAGGTAGTTTTAGGGACTATATTAACTTGCCTCACATACAGAGGCGGTTGCTTATTTCTTGATGTGGGAGGCAGGTGGGTAAATAGACAGTTTCATTAAAATGTGCTAGGTAAAGTGACAGACTTTACCACAGGGTGCTATGGAAACAAGGCCCACGGACATGAATCCCAGCCTGACTATGTAAAGGAGCCTGGCTTTTGAGGTGACTTAAGAAGGATGAGCAGTTAGTTAAGCAGGAAGAGGTGCGATTAGTCGAGGGAGAGGTTGTTCCAGACAGAAAGGGAGGAATGGTAAAGGCTGAGCTGTGGAACTAAAGCAGTCCATTGCTCTATGGCATAAAGTGTGAGGGGGAAAATGGACAGATAATGAGGCTGGAGAGGCCAAATCTCAAAAGTTAGGGGCTGAATCAAATGTTCTCTTGATGTCCCTTCCAGGTCTAAGCTCTATGACACTTTGATCCTACTTCCAAATAAATTTAAGATACCTAGAACTTATGGGAAATTTTTATACAGTAGTCTATCCTGTGTTGGATTGGCAAAATATTATTAATTTCCTCTTTTAAAGAGGCTTTGAACTCAGGTGGTTAAAATGGCCAGCGAGAAAAGACAGCCATTGTTAATCTCAGCACAGCTGGACTGCTATTGTACATCAGGTGACACTCTTATTTATGCATTCATATATGAATACATTTACTATATTCAGCAAAAGAATGAAGAATTATATATTCAAATGAATAGCCAGATTTATGTCTAGAAGTCATCCTTTATGCACAGCACTCCTTATCTATAATAGAGTTAAAATCTGCTACACTAAAACTCCCAGAAATCCCTAATGTTCTTTGTGTGTTGCCTTGAACTTTATATAAACAGATATTTTGACCATCTGGGTTTAGGTTAGGAAAGACATGGGTCTTTATTAATAACGGAGTCAAGTTATTCTCATTTTTTAATATTCAACAATATTATTATTCAAAGGAATTAAGTGTCATAACTGTGGCTCATTTTGCATCTGCAGATGGAGTTCAATGAGAAAGAACTGCGAAGAGAAATAAGCTATGCAATCAAAAACATACATGGTATCAGGCAAGTGCTTCACATTTTCCTTGTCTTCAGTTCAAGCTACTAAAAAAAGTTAATATTTATGAATGGCTAGTGAAGTAGCCTTTTCATCATTTGAGCAGAGTAGAATATAGAGGTGGGAGTAAGAAATAGGAAATCCTCGTTTGGATTCAATGGTAATTTCTAGTATTGGCATACTGTCTGTTTACAATTAAAAAAACAAAAACCCTTTCTGCCCTCACAGCAGTGTGCTCTGAACAATCAGGGATTTACTGATGAACAAGACCTTGTTCTTCAGGGCTCTGTATTTCAGGGACAGAGGCCAGACTTGCTCATAAGTGATCATTACTTACACAGAGACCAAATAGATTAATTTTGGCTGGATTTATGGAGCAAGATTGGGAAAGATTAATGAAGATGGTTGCTTTAGAGTCACACCTTGCCTGTTTTGAGAACAAGAATGATTTCAGCAAGCAAAGGTGTCTGTGTGGATACATGTGCTTGTGTGTATGTGTGTGCGTGTGTGTGTGTGTGTCCGTTTGTGTGTGTATGGGGTAGGTGGCAATGCAATGAGGTGTGAAAGGAGGGAGATTGTTGAGGCTGGAGGAGAAAAGAGGGGGCTTAAAGTGGAGGGAGTAATGTGAGCAAAGGCATGGAGGTGGCAAAGGGCAGCATGTATTCGTGGAGCAGGAAGCCATACATTTGGACTGGAGTTAGGAATGTGGACAGGAGAGCGGAGGGACATGAGGCTGGGAGGAGAACTTGTACCTGAATTCACCCTTGTATGAAGTGGGATTGTTTTCATTTACTTTCATTACAGAAATAAATGATAAAAAATAAATGAATTGATAAAAATAATTGATAAAATAAATGGATTTAAAACACACATTTCTTGAGTTCATGTATAGAGGGCTAAATACAATGTAATGGAGCATATGTTAAATTGAGGTGTCCTGAATTCAAGGTAAGAAAACAGGTTGCCTACTTCATGATCATCTTACATGAAGGAGGGATCCCCAGTCCATTGGCCTGTTGCATCTCAGCTTTTGCAATAGGGCCAACTTTAGACTATTTTGGGAACAGAGTCTGAGAGAGCAAAACTTGACCCTGAGTGTGCATGTGATGGGTGATTTTCCAAAGGAGTTATGACATCTGAAGTATCTATCCTTACAAAATTTAGAAAATCTCCTCTACAAGTCTCAAATAGTATGGGCAAATATGCATTCACAAAGTGAAAAGGAGACAACATCTATAACCACATCCAGTGTTTTTTTCTTAACCTTCAACAGGATTTCTAGTTCCCTATTAATTCTATTCCCTGTCCCTCAAATCCAGAATACATTTGGTACAGAAACTATGTCTTGCTCTTTAGCTGGGCAGAGCTAGTATGTGAACATACCGATTTGATAAATGCAGTGGAACCAAATTACGTTTTGTGTGGGGGGTGGGTCATAAAGTATTTTACTTAATCAAATACAGTAGTTTTAGTTGGCTTTTAAAACTCCTTACCAGTTACATTTTCATTGAATGTAACTGCAAAAGCTCAGTAATTCAAGATTGTAGATTTCTGATTTACATGCATACCAACAGAAGAGATTGGTTGTTACTATTATTCTGGAGTTCATTTGCCTATAAGATGATAAGAGGTGCACAGTGTCCTGCGTATAAGACATATTAATGGTGTGATTATTTATGCCCTTAAATACACTTAATTTGAAGAGTTTTGTTCCCAGATTCTGTTAGATATTTGAATAATAGAAACCATCTTTGCCCACTGGGGACCCACCTTATGGTCCTTCATTCTGCTAACACTGAGTGCCAATGATGAGCAAGGGATCCCTCCTTGAGGGGAAAACAAAGATAAAGACAATAACGACTCTCCCTCCCAGTGTAGTAACAAGACTAAAATATGTGCTCAGACTACTGTAGTGCAAAGTAGGACGCTGGCATTCAGAGAAGGAAGAGCTAGTCAGCGGCAGGACTGGAGGAGGCGAGCTGTAGGAAGTGGTTATTTTTGGTCTGGTCTTTGAAGCACAGGTGGGATTTGGACAGGCTGAAATTGTGGGAAAGGTGAAATGAACATCATACATGAAGGAAAAGACATAAAATATTAGTATGAATATGTTTGTGGAAAGGCAAATGGTCTGGTTTGGCTGAAACATAGCATGCATGAAAGGGAGGAGGAAAATAACCTCAAAGGAAGATTAGGGACAGACTGGGGAAAATTTTTAACGTCAGACTAAACAACGTGGATTTTATTCTGTATCCAAAGTGGAGAAATTACAATTACAATATAGTATGATTACTACAGTACAATTAGAAATGGAGGTGGGCACAGGGTGCTAAGTAAATAAGAAGGGACATAGAATAGGGCTGCTAAAATGGAAGTGTTAAAGAAATCTCCCAGGGCTTTCCTGGTGGCTCAGTGGTTGAGAGTCCGCCTGCCGATGCAGGGGACATGGGTTCATGCCCGGGTTCGGGAAGATCCCACATGCCGTGGAGCGGCTGGGCCCATGAGCCGTGGCCGCTGAGCCTGCACATCCGGAGCCTGTGCTCAGCAACGGGAGAGGCCACAACAGTGAGAGGCCCGCGTACCGGAAAAAAAAAAAAGAGAGAGAGAATTCTCCCAAAAGAGGTACCATAAGATTGAGTGTTTCACGAAGAGAAGGTAACCAAATAAGGGGGAGGGAGGAGGGTCTAGGATGAGGAGGATCAACCACCAACATCTGGAGCCTGCACGTCTTTGGGCATGGCATATGTCAGGGTTCAGGATCCCTCTTATTGTAGCTTTTCTCCATTGACCTTTTGTTTAAATATGAGTAATCATTTTTTACTTCTTTATGAAACGTGCACACATGCACACACATACCTGCTTTCCTGAGCTTCTGTACAGCATGAGAAAAGCATTGTTATGACATCAGTTTGAATTAATTCCATCCAAATGAAAAGATACTTGCTACTTTTGTTATTGTTTGTCATTTTTGTAAATTCACAATTTAGGCATTCTGGGCTCCAAGCTAGTTCCACTTAACTGCCTTCCTTTTCCTTCAGCACCCCAGGACCTCAAACTGGGAACCACTGAGCTCACTATAATACAGCTCTCTTGGAAAGAATATGTTGTGTAGTCCAGGAATGCTACTATTTCAGTGTTCAGAAAGTGAAGATAATTTTCTACTCAATGAAGGAGAAGAGAGGATTGCTTCTGGAATACTTTAGAAATAGAAATGTAAATTTAGGACACCATTTCTGTTGTAGCATTCCTTTGTATTGCTGTGAACCAGTGAGTTGAGACAAATGACAGTTAAATATTGAGGGTCACATTATGAGCCTTGAAAACGTTTTGGGAACTGTTTTTAGGTAATGTTAATCATATATAGAATGTATTAAGGATATTATTACAAATGATACTGTGGATAGAATAAATCACTATGTAACTTTTAAACTAGGCTTTTTGCATGCTTTAAGTAGCATGTCAATTAAAACATTTTTAAAAAGAGTATTGAATATCATTCAATTTAAAATATCTAATGTGCTGCTTTCTTTCTTATGTTCAGGACAGGGTTGTTTACTCCGGACATGGCATTCGAAGCAATAGTCAAAAAACAAATTGTAAAGCTGAAAGGGCCTTCCTTGAAGAGTGTAGATCTGGTAATACAAGAGTTAATCAACACTGTCAAGAAGTGTACCAAAAAAGTAAGTTTGAATTATGTAACTTTGCAACCAGTAACTACTTGGTTTACCCATCTTTCCTACCCTGTTACATACCTCTCTTCCCCTGACCCTCCACTTTGTCATAGAAGGTTTTGTGTTTGCTCAAGGGGAAGGATTGTGAAAAGTACTGAATGGGAATTGCTTTCACGATAGATGGGCATATTGACTTCTATCACCCCTTTCCACATAGGGTTGTTGTCTTAATCAGGTAAACATCACTTTAGAACAATTAAGTGAATGCCCTAAACCAACTTTTCCTGTGATGCTTGGATGGGAGTAATTGTTAGGGGAAAGGAATCAGTGATATTGTTTGTAACAAAAAGGTAATTCTTCTAAATTTTAAATGAATTCCACTTGAACCTGGATGTTCTGGGAAGGGGCATTGTGGTATAGTAGTTAAGAGCCCAGCCTCTGAGGTCCAGTTATCTAGATTCAAATCCTGGCTCTGCTATTTACTTGCTGTCTGACCTTGAGCATCATACTTAATCTTTATATTTTTGTTAATTTCTGTGTAAAATGGAGATGATGATGATGATGATGATGATGATGATGATGATATCACCTCAGTGAGGATTAAACAAGATGATGCCTGAAACCCATGAGGCACTTAACACATTGATTAAACATAGTAAGTGCTCAGTAAATGGTGGTTAATCTATAAATGGCCATTTTTAGTAGCACCCAATATTCCCTACCTTGTAATATTTATTGATGGAGAGTAGTGGGCAAGAGACTTCCCAATCTGGGGGCTCTTCACTGAGGAACATGGAGGAGTTGTGCTGGATTCCATCCATTTCATAGGGACATGAAAGGGGTACACTGTATTGGAAAATATAAGAAGGGAATTACTGATGGTGTTAGGATAGGGTAGGCCTAGCCCTATGGCAGTTACTATTGTTACTTTGATTATTTCTTGAAAGTATAGATACTTATGATTTTGTTAGTTTTGTTACCCTTCCCTTTCTTTATGGTTACTATGAGTAACATTCCTGAAAAACCAGTGAGAAGAAAGAGAGAATTAATATGAGTGTTGGTTCCCAGTTACCTTACAGAAAAACTCAGATGAAGGAAAGATATAAGTAGTGAAAGAGGAAAGGAATCTAAATTTAGGAATTCAGGATTGTCAATGCTAAAAGAAAAGGAGTTAGGTGGAACTAGCTTGGGGCCCAGAAGTGGCTCTGGAGCTTCAGATCCCTTCTCTAGACTTCTTACTATTCTTCTACCTTGTTCCTTAAAGTTCTATTTTCTCTTCTCTAAAATAGGAAAACACCATAGGCATTAAGGGACTGAGGAAAGGGAAAAGAATGCTCATGGGGAAGAAAAAAATGTCTTTATGCCAGCTCTTCATTTGGAAACTTGAAGCCATTTAATAATACTTCACATCCCTCCTGTCCTTGCCTATACCTCAAAATACAGTTAGTCTTGTCACCTGTATATTGGCCTCCTCTTAACTGACTTGCTGAACTAACTGAAACTGCATTCTCTATTTAATCACATGGATTGCCACCCTCAGCATATAGATATCTTCTTCAGCCAAAAGCTTCTCTTGCTGCCCATG